CCGGTGTCCTGCAGAGTTTAGTTCCAACTTGCCTCAACACACCTGCCGGGAAGTTTCTAGCATGCCTAGTAAGAGCTTGATTAGCTGGTTCAGGTGTGTTTGATTAGGGTTGGAGCTAAACTCTGCAGGACACCGGCCCTCCAGGACCGAGTTTGGGCACCCCTGGTTTAGATTAATCGATTAATCGATAAATTAGTAGATAGATTAATCGAAATAAAAATAGTCGTTAGTGGCAGCCCTACTCGTGACATAAAATAAGAAATATTTACAATTCCGCACAATTTCTAAGTCACTAATCAGACTTTTGGAGTTCAGCTAGGGCACTGCTGCCATTAATCCAAAAGGGGTACAAACCAAATAAAAAGAAATTATTCAGGAAATATTTTTTTCAATTTACTCAACATGTTATACTGATGGAAACATATACGCTACTGTTCAAATGTTGAGGTTAGTAAAATCTGTGTAATAGGTAACTTACCGTTCAGAAGTATCTCTTCTTATGCTCACCAAGCCTGCATTTATTTGATGAAGAAAAAAAAACAGTAATATTATGAAAAATTATCATTTAAAATAACTCTTTTAGATTTGAATATATTTTATATAAATATAATTTATTTATGTGATGGAAAAGCTGAATTTTCAGCAATCATTACTTCAGTCTTTCGTGTCACAGGATCCTTCAGAAATCATTTTAATATGCTGATTTGGTGCTCAAGACACATTTCTTATTATCAATAATGTTGGAAACAGTTGTATACTACATAAAAAATAAAGTACTTTCACCTTTGGTCTCAGATCCCACTTTATCTTTTCATTTGAATTAGATTAAACTGCATAACCAGTTTTCTTGTAAACTTGTTTGTAAGAAACCCTCAGTCTACATGACTCAAATAATGAACTGGCAGACGTCTGGAGAACGGAGAAACCCGCTCTTGTCGGGAGACCTGCTGTCCTCTTAACATCCCCTACGAAAAAGAAGTTTATTCAAGTGTGCTATTAGTATACTTCTTTTAAACTAAAAATAGGAAAGTATACTTTGTCTACTTTTTATGTACTTCTCAGATATGGGCTTTATGTACTTCTCAGAAATATACTTAAAATGACATTTAAGTATACTTGACTTATACTTAAAAAAAGTCTAAATATATTTGAGCTATACTTGTGCTCCTAGAATCCGTGTTTTCATTGTTATACTGTAGGGGGCTTACTAAAATAAACTTGAAGTATACTACTTTTTGGTAAGGTATGCTCTACATGACTTTTGGGCCATTGTTCTATAAAGACAAAACTTACATAAAGGCAAGCATGATGCAAGAGTACACTTTAATGAAAAGATGCCTGTGGCTTTGTGTCTGAATCACTACTATCATTGTTGACCTGAGGTGATTTAAGGCAGATATTAGTTGACTGTATAAATAGTTCGACAGCCAACAGTGCCTTCTAGTGCCTTGATTTCTCTGGACTGGCAAATGCAGTACAATCAGTGATTTCTGTTGCTCCGTTTGTCTTTAATGCAACCGTCAGCGAATGTTAATGCTAAATGAGAAACGCATTGTGGTAGTGATAAATCTGCCATATTAAGCTGTCCTGCCTGGTCGCATCTTTTCCTCTGTCCTTCTTGCTTTACTCCTATTCCACTTTACTTTGACCCCTGTGTCTGCAGAGCCCAAGTCCATCGATGCAGGCATCACTATACAGACCGAAGTGGCCTGTGCACCCATAACAGGTACCACAGCAAGTGTGGTGTGATTTGATTGGACAGAGACTTACATTACATGACTCAAAGACTTCACCTAGTGTTGTTATGTGTTGTCTTGGTGTGTCTTGGCAGCTCTTTTTATTTAGTTGTGTTGATGTCAAAGCAACCAGTGACAGATTTGATTTTCATCCATTGTGTCAAGTCAACCACTGTGCAGCTGTGGTGACAATCGTGATGTCAATATTAAATATTAAAAATCTCTGCCATGTGTCTTTCTACCTGTCTGGTTTCCAAAACTTCCCGAAAACTGAATAGTTCAAAGTGCTGTCCAGGTGTAAACAGACCAGTAACAACAAGCAATATAAAGCCAACTCAGTGGGTCTCATTCACTAATATTTTTGTGCAAGTGTTCCTATTTATGTGTGCAAAATAGGTTCTCATGCAAAATGTTCACTGGGTTCATAACAGGTGTGTACATAAATATTTTATTCTAATGTTTATGAATCCATTTCATTCTGGATGAGCAAAGCAGATGACACTCAGTAAATACATTTTGTATAGAGTGTCTGTTTGAAAACTAGACAAAAAATAAAAGTATTTTGCAAAATATATTTTTATAAATATATACTTTTACATTGTTACAAAAAACATTTTATTTTAAAGAAATGCCATTCTTTTGAACTTCATAGTCATCAAAGAATCCTAAAATGTATGATGGTTTCCACAAAAATATTAACCAGTAATATCCTTTTCTGATAACGTGACACTGAAGACTGGAGGAATGGCTGCTGGAAATTCAGCTTTGCCATCACAGGAATAAATTGCATTTCATATAATTAAACTATATTTATATAGAAGTAGAACAGTAATTTTTAATTGAAATAATAATTCACAATATTTCAGTTATATATATATATATATATATCCTGTGTTATAATGTTCACGCACAGGTTTTACACAAATTAGTGTGTACGCACAGTGAATGAGGCCCTACACTATGTTGCTTCCTGTCTCATTTCAGATTAGCACTTTCATTCTCCTCTTTTGTATCTTCCTGTACTGCTTTTTTTCATGGTAGGTATGAATGGGAAGAGTATTTTGAGCGCTATGAGCCGACATACACCAGAGAACTCTGCAGGGATCACTCAAGGCTCAGGGGCCACCACATCACCCTGCTCCTCCCGCTCCTCCTCACAACGCTCAGGCACAGGGGGCCACACACCCAGAGGCCCCCGCCGGTCGCCCGGCACGCAGCCCAATCCCCCAGCGAGCAGCAGCAATGCTTTGGCTCTCTCCAAGACTACCAACTCCCCGCGCCTCTCCCCAGGTCAGAGTCGGGGACAACCTTGATCTTCACCGCCCTTTTTTATACTTTGGTGTGATATCTGGTGTCATTTTTTATACTTTGGTGTGATATCTGGTGTCATTACTCATATATTTTACATATTATAATTAACACTCTTCCAGAGCGTAATCAATCTGAAAATCGTACATCTCTCCGGAGGAGTCCTTCTCCACAAAAAGGATCTCCGTCACACCAAGTGGTCTTCCTTAAAGACATTGTGTGCTACTTGTCCCTGCTGGAGAGGGGAACGCCAGAGGACAAGCTTGAGTGTAAGTTGGAAATGATTCAAAAATAGTTTTCCTGAAAGCATTTTTTTTTAATCTTAGCTGTCTTTGGGAAATTTTAAGAAGGATTCACTTTAAGACATTTTCAAATACTTATTTGGTCATATATTTTTTGATTATTGATATTTGGTCATATATTTTTTGAATATTGATAGTTGGTGTTAGAGCTTGTTCATGTTAAAGCAAAGACAACGTGTTTCTTTGTTATGATGATGTTATGAGAAGCCAGGTTTCTTCCTTTAATCTCCTTCTTATTTACATTAAGACAACATATCCTCATTAATTCCCACTTTTCCAAAGTTCCTCTAAAGAAAAAGAAGAAGAAAAACGGAAAACCAACAGTATTTTAAGTAATTTTGTAAATTATGTCTCCAAACCAGTCGTGCCTAACCACAGAAAGCATAGAATTAGTCAATAGTGACTAATACTATGTGAAAAGTCACCTCATTCCTGACAGTTCATAATTAAACACAGCATATGAAATGCAGATATGGATCTTTTGTGATGTTTGAATAGTCAATTTTATTTCAGTTACTGTTGCCTATGTGATACAAAGCTGAATTTTCAGCAGCCATTACTCCAGTTATCAGTGTAGCATGATCCTTCAGAAATCATCCTAATATTTGGTGCTTAAGAAAAATCTCTTCTTCTTATCAATGCTGAATCACAGTTGTGCTGCTTAATATTATTTTTGTGGAAACCGTAATATATTTTTTGATAAATAGAAAGTTCAAAAGAATAGCATTTGTTTGAAATAGAAATCTTTTGTAACATTATAAATGTCTTTACTGTCACTTTTGATCAATTTAATGTGTCCTTTAAGAATAAAAGAATAATTTTCTTTTTTGTAAAAATCTGCAGGTAGCTATAAGTTATTAGCTATTAAATCTTTCTGAGTCATTGTTTTTACATATAGGTACACCCAACCACACAGTTAGGTCAGTTCTGTGTTTTAATTGACCTCTGACCTACACATAGTGAGAGTGACAGGAGACTTCCAGAATCTCTTCCTCTTATTTCGTAAGGGCTTATCTCTGCTCCTGGCCTTATTTACCATGGAGTTAGCATAGACAAGCTTTATTTAGCATAGGAAGTTATTTCTGCCCAAAGCTAATCCTCACTAGTTGCCTCAGTCTGCCCTTTGATAACCTGAGCTCCAGGTGCTAGCATGGGGTCTGTACTTGACAAATATTTGCCACACTACAAAAAGATAGTCTCTTATCTTTTACTTCTCTCACCCTAAAGTCATGTTCAGGCTCTACGACACAGATGGCAATGGTCTGCTGGACAGTTCGGTAAGTCTGAAATCTCCATTATAATGCGTAATGTTGAAACGTCCAGTTGTTTGGCTTTGTGGTTAGATACTTTAAACAACAAGGAGTTAATAATGCACAGTACATATTTAATGTGAGATTTACATAAGTTGAATACGACATACACAGTTATAGTGCGTTATGTCATTGTGTTGAGTTGTTAGTCTGGTGATTTCTTAATATTATCATCCTTGAATGTTTCATTCATCTTAACACTATCAGACCTTGGTGATTCAGAGACTGTCTCAAAATATTATTGATTTTTTTTTTTTATGTAACTTTGAACTGATAGTTAGAGAGAGCTGTGAATATCAGGCTTCATAAAAAAAGTGAATTTGAAAACGGTATGCTTTATAGTGTATAATATCTAAAGCAATTATATCTGTCGATTTAGGAGCTCGACCGCATCATAAACCAGATGGTCCATGTAGCTGAGTACCTAGAATGGGACTCTACAGAACTACGACCTGTATGAATCACTTTAAACATTACCACCAGGCAATCCCATCATGCATTGTGGAATCCATATCTTATTGTCCCTTATTTTATGTCTTATATTGTAGATTCTGAAGGAGATGATGGAGGAGATTGATTATGACCGGGATGGAACGGTCACATTAGAGGAATGGATCAGAGGAGGAATGACCACCATACCACTCCTGGTACTGCTGGGAATGGAGACGGTGAGAAGAAACGAACAGTGAGTTATAAAGAGGAAACAATACATTAAGATACAGTATCTTATTTCCTGTTCCTCTTTTACATACATTCAGAATGTACAGGAAGATGGGCAGCATGTATGGAGACTGAAGCATTTCAACAAGCCAGCATACTGTAATTACTGCCACACAATGTTGTTAGGAGTACGAAAACAGGGCCTTTGCTGCTCACGTGAGTATCTATCTATCTATCTATCTATCAATCTATCTATCTGTCTGTCTGTCTGTCTGTCTGTCTATCATCTGTGATTTTGTCTAATTATATTTGTTTTGTTCTGTCTGTTGATCTGTCGTTCTGTCTATCTGTTATCTCTCACCTTTTTGATATCTGATGTGTCTGACCTGATGGTGTGTAGTTTTCCATTTGAAATGTTTCCCTCCCATCTCTCACAGTCCTGTCTTTTGTTTGGCAGTATGCAAGTACACAGTCCATGAGCGCTGTGTGTCCAAAGACATTGCTCCTTGCATTAGCACCTACGCCAAGTCCCGCAGACACACCAATGTGAGTGCATAAACAACATACGCTTACAAATTAACACTACTCACTGTGTTTAAACTGAATGTTTTCTCTAAAAATTTACAGTAAATCCAGAAACTGGGATTCCCAGATTGATTTGTTAGGTACAGAGCTCATAGTTCTAACAAACACAATCTTCTATTATTAATAAATGACTCGTGTTTAACCTCAAAGTAATGTTCTGTGGACATGTCAGAAAGGCTATGAGAACATCCTGTGTGTAATATCTTTTTTCTGTACTGAGAACTAGAGGGGAAAGACTGAGATCACACAGCACTGTTTTAGTAGTCACTGACTTCTCTTTAGACCTTGAGCTCCCATTCAGTAACTACCGCAGAGATGGAAGGCACTGCGTTCAAATAATGTTGTCATTAGATTATGATTTCACAGGGTGTATTGTGTGATGTGTTAAGTGATGTGGAGTGTAATTTTAGTGTAAATAGCTATAAAATTTCAGTGAACAGTGGAAATATCAGTTCTCACGCTTAAGGTGTTTATTAAGACTTGGGGCTTGTGTAAAAATATTATACACTGTCAAATTCAAAGTAATGTGCTGTAAGTTTCTTCATTAGTCTTACCTTCATCTCACATACTATATATTGTAGTATACATTTTTAGTGACTTTTTAACATTAGTTGTTAGACTAAAGGGAAATGCAATTTGCTAGACCCTTGCAGTTCTTCCTAAAGGATCATTTTGAAAGCTTTGACCAACAAAAAAAATCACTGAATGTGTATCATAACATATGGGTGCATTTCTTTTAGTACATTCCAACAGATTATTATTATTTCTTTACTAATATCCTGTGTATTCAAGGAAATGCATTTTTTTAAAGAATTCTTTTTAACTTGAGGTTTTGCCTTGTGAGATGAATGTTTTAGTCAATAAAGTGAAATAATATTGCAGATAGTGATAGAATTCTTGTACAAATGCCTTATAAATGCATGACAGAGCATGATAATAATTTCAGTAATGTATAGATGAGCTGTTTGAGTATTTACTAACTAAAATAATTAATGAGTCTCTGTTCAATGTGTCTCTAGGCTATGCAGCATGTTTGGATGGAGGGCAACTCCCCAACAAAATGTGACAAATGTCACCGCAGTATCAAGTGCTATCAAGGCCTAACAGGCCTTCACTGTGTTTGGTGTCAAATCACTGTGAGTATATACTGACTTACTGTGGCCAGCAAGAGTCCAAAACTTTTGTGTTAGCTTTAGTAATATTGTATTTCTAGTAATATTTAATATTTAGTAATATTCATTCTAATTTTTTTTAAAGAGGCCTTGAGCAAAGACTAATGGGAATGTATTTTGTTATGTTTTTCCGCATTAAAAAAACCAAAACATTTTTCCTTTTTATCTCAGTATAATAACGTTGTGGTCTATTTTTCTAAAAGCCATATTTATGTAATACTTATTCTCACCACTTGGTGGTGTTCTTCACTAAACTTTTACACCATTTAGTGGATGTGGCCAATTTGTTTTTAAAATAGCCCTAATAAAGATAAGTGTCAGCACTTAACACTCATTCAAAGGCTTTTTCTCTACATAATGATTTTTATTATCACATTATATGCTCCTGCACGCTCTCTGAACCATCTCTCCTGACAGTTTCAACTCTAAACCTGCAACTAATTTAATATCAAGTACAGATCCTGCTGGCCTCTTTGTCCCTAACATTTAATGTAATTTTGCTGGATCAGATTAGTGAGGATAAAACAAGAAGTTACAAAAGATCCAGTCCATTCTTGATGTGTCTTTTTTCACCACTCCTCATCTATATTTGTATGTTTTCCAGCTCCATAACAAGTGTGCGTCTAATGTGAAGCCTGAGTGTGACGGTGGACCATTAAAAGATCACACACTCTTGCCGTCGTACATCTGCCCTGTTGTTCTAGTGAGTTCAGTCTCTCCCACTGCACTTTTCTGATATGCTAAACTGCAAGGATCCCAGTACAATTTTTTCATTGTTGGGTCCTGGACAAATTCTTCATGAGCGTCTTCTCTACTATGAATATATTTTTGAATACATCTATCTATCTACATACCTTTTTTATATATATAAAATATTTTCAGATACTTTGGATATTGTGACAGTGTTATTAAAGGGATAAAAGGGAGTCTATTGTGCACTCTCTAACGAAAAAAACTAATGTTCTTACTGACTTGGAATTTGCATAGAGAAAATTAAAGGATGTTCACTGTTTTTTGTTAGATGTGCTGTCTCACCTTTGTACTGTAAACTTAATTAATTAAATTTTAAAAGTAAATGGTATTCAAGTTAAAATGTCTTTTCAATAAGTAAGACACAGTAATCAAGGAAATTCACAAACATTCAAAAGTTTGGAGTCAGTCAGATTGTTTTGTTTTTGAAAGAAGTCTCTTATGTTCGGCAAGGCTGCATTTATTGGATACGGTAAAAAAAAAAAAAAGTAAAAACAGTAATATTATGCATTTTACAATGGGGTTATTGAATGCATGATTTTGATTGGTTAAATTATTATCCAGGAAATGCAGAAATGCACAGCTATGAAGTAGTTCCAGGTCTGTTGGCTGCATGAATTTCAAATCAATTTGCCAAATTATTTCTGGTGAATAGAAAGTTATAACAAACAGCATTAATTGTGAAATAGATTTTCAAATAGAAATAGAATTTGGAAATTTACTTGAAATAGACATTTTTCATAACATTGTAAATGTCTTCACTGTCACTTTTGGTCAGTTTAATGCATCCTTGCTATATAAATTATCAGAATAATATTCATTTTTGAAGCACACACACACACACACACATATATGTAAATGTCCTGAAGCACATAGAAAGAACTTTGACACGGACTCTATGATTGAGACTTGTGAACATTTCTAGTCTAACGACCTTGTAAAATGACCTGTAAAAATGTTAAAACATCAGTTCTTTCTAAATTACAGAGAAATATAATAAAGTGAGGTGGATTCTGAAATTACATGGGTCTTGTCATTTTTATCTCTTATGTACATCTGTCTCACTCCGTCTCTGTTTGTTGATGTTTACTGTAATGTCTGTATATCTCTAGGACCGTCATTCTGCTGTCAAAAGAGGTGAAGGAGAGTCATCCCCCAGTACCAGCCCTGAGGACACCAGCCAGTGTTTCAAGTTCACCGGTGATGGTCAGGCACTGCAGGTGAGCCCTCAGCAGACACACACTGGGCCTGCAAATCTGTGCAGCACACATGTGTGTTTGTAACGTTTTCTCCCTCTCTGCCTCTAAGATCACCCCTCTGCCTGGAACGCACCCCCTCCTTGTGCTGGTTAATCCTAAAAGTGGTGGTCAGCAGGGTGAGAGGTAAATGTCTTTGAAGCTCAAACTGTTGCATCATCATTTTTCATATTCTCCAACCTTATACTGCTGTAATGGTTCCAATGAGGAGGTTTGTCAAAACATCTGAAGTCAGTCGAATCTGCATAGACATGTTTAACAAAAGTCCCACTCTTTTTCTTGCTTACTGGCAGTGTCCTAAATACCATCAAAGCTAGCAGGAGACAGTAATGCTGTTAAAGGAGGAAGAATGTGGGTGTTGTTTCAGCTCTCACCACCCACCCAACGTCCTCCGGGAGACCGGTTTTAGGATTTTGTGCTGGCATCACCATAGCAACACAGTTTTAAATACTATTAATTGGCCGATTATCCTCCATTATTACACATGTGCTCAAACAAAGATGTGATCACTGCCCTGGCCCCAAAAAAGAAAGACAATTTTGGTGGTTCTTTGATACAAACAAAGGAACAGAGTGGTCACCGTTGAATCATACTGTACCAAGTGTATTTTTCCACCATATTCACCCTAAGCAGCGTACTGAAAGCTCATTGGTCGGGCTTGACACTTGACTGCATTTTTTTGTTTTTGCATAGGGAATAAATGAATTCTTCAGTGTTGATAAGTGCTCAAATTCTCACCCCCACATAAAAGCATAGCTTTTGACGCACCTCAAACTAACTATTCCTCTCTCTCTCTTTCTCTCTGTGTGTCTTTGCATACTAAAGGGGCAGAGTAGCTAACACAGTTAGAAGTGAAGGACATTGCAGAGTCCTCAATAATCATTTTATTGCTTCAAGATTATTGAGGAGCACTGCTGCAACAGTGTGCAATCTGTGTATGTGTGTGTGTGTGTGTGTGTGTGTGTGTATGCGAGTACTTACTTGATTCCTAGGTTTGTGTGGTCTATTATTATAATGGAATGGAATGATGGCGTTTTAAGAATATCATTGCTCCATATGTGTGTCTGTCTGTGTCTTCTCATGGAACAGTTCAACCAAAATAGAACATTCTGTCATCATTTACTCATCATCATGTTGTTCCAACATTAAATCTGCGACTAACAATCTGTTGATTATTTATTTGATTCATTGGGGGGAAAAGGCCAAATGTTATTTTTTAGATTTTACTGAAAAAAATAGATTCAATTATTCCCATCTTCTCTTCTAAAAATGAATGGTGGTTATGCTGAATATTATTTTGATTGTTTTATGGTTTTAATGATTTAGACAAAAATGACTAACAAACAAACTTGATATAACAAACAAGCAAACGAAAATTCACAGTTTTGAAGCAGAAGGACAGTTTGAATCTGTTAATTATGTCTTTGATTAATTGGGTGGGGAAAAGGCCAAATGTTATTTTTTTATGAATTTTTTTATTCCAGATGTGACCCAATTTCTCTTCTAAAAATGTGCAAAAGGTTTATATATATTCTAATTGTTTTATTGATTTTTGACAAAAAATTTAACTAACCAATTTTATGTAGCTAACAAACAATAATTCACAGTTTTGCAGCAGAAGGACAGTTTAATAATAATTAATAATAAAAAACATTTCTTAACCGGGTAAGTAGAACTATTAAGAAGTAGAATTATTATTTTTTTTTTCCTGCAAATGGGACTTACATCCAATTACATATTATGATCCCAATGCAGAAATGGATCAGTCTGATTCATGATCAGATCATTTAGACCTTTTGTGTGAACTGCATCAATGATTCATTGAAAAGATTTGACATAAAAGAACGATTTGTTTACAATTTGTAATTGAGCATCGCACTTCTCTCATGATTTCTTTTGAAGGTGCCAAGAAGAGGTAGGATGCACGACACGTCAAGATTTTCTATCCATAATAACATCTAGTTATTTTTTACCTCCTTACTTTATAAGTCATTTGGGCTTGGAATGACAAGAGGGTTGGTAAATGATGGCAGAAGTTTTATTTTTGGCTGAACTATCCCTTTAAGCCTTCTATCATAATGTAAAGTTGACAGTGATTACATGTTTAAAAATGTCATTCCTCTATGTGTGTCTTTTAATGCTTTTCTGCTCTCATCTGTCTTCATCAGGGTGCTGCGGAAATTCCAGTACCTGCTTAACCCCAGACAGGTGTACAGTCTGGATCGAGGAGGACCCATGGTGGGGTAAGACTACTAAAAGCCACCATCAAATTTCGAGGGAGATATGTGTGAATAAATCGTTTTTTGAGTCATGACAGGGACTTTTTTGTTCTGGCATGGCTCCCTCTCTCTCTTTTCTTTTTGCTTCTACGAACCTGCAATAAAGTGAGCCAACCTGCAATCAGCTAGTCTGAGAGAGGAACCACTCGCAAAGTGGAGATGACTTTGAGAGACCTACAAGACATTTACTATGACTCAAGCAGTCCCCTGCTGAGTAAATATATTCATTCAAGCGCTGAATGTTCTTCTGAGCCTGTCAGTCACGATGAGGCTTCCTCTTTAAGCGAGTCCATTTTACTAAAGCCTCTTCACTCATACACCCCACCTGCCTTTAACAGAAGGCCAGCTCAGGGTCGTCCAAATCAGTTTCAACCCGTAGTAAAGCAGTGGAATCTGTGAATGTCATTGTAAGAGGTTCATATTTACAAATTATTTTATGAGCGCCAAATACTTATGTTTTAAGTATTGTAGGTTTGAATTACCTTTTTTTAGGAGAAATAAATACAAATGAGACCATTATGTTAAGAAGAACAGTTTTGTTTTAGTATTATTTTGTACTATTAAAATATTTATTAATATTTTGAAATGGCTTTAACTTTTTATATTTCTATATATATATATTTCTATTTAGCTTTAATTTGTTTTTATTTCTGTTTTAGTCATTTTAGTACTTTAGAAATTTGGAAACTTATTTCAGTTGTCAAGACTACGTACATTTCTCATTTTGATTTGTTTTTCATCAATTTTTTTATTTTTGATCATTTCATTTTGATTAGCAAAAAACATTTTTGCGATAGTTTGTCCATACAGTGGATGAGTAGCACAACAATAGTTTTAGTTACTAATAACAACATTGATATAGAGCAATATATTTAAGATGGCATAGACTAGATCTTTTGACCTCAGAAGTACTTGATGAGAAATCATCTTAACATCTTAAACCAGCCTAAGATGGTTTGCTGATCTAAATCAGCAAACTTGCCTAAATCTAAATCGGTTTAGAGAGGTTTTGGCTGGCTTTAGGCTGCCACCAACTGGTCACCCAGCAAAAACTAGCTTGGCTTAACCGAAAGACCAGCATAAATCAGTTTTCAGTAGGCTGGGTTAAGGATTTTTTTACCAGCATGAATTTTTATGTTCATATTAAAGTTGGCAAATCTGAGCACAGTTTGAGACATTAATATCTTTTCTGGTGTCTTTTTTTTGTCAAGAGAAACATCTAAGAAGCAGAAGCTTAATTTATTCCCCATTTATCTAACAATTAAGATATTAAAGAGATCTCATTTGTGTTTTTCTTTGCTCTAAGCTCTCACTTTCATTTTAGTGCACAATTATGCAGTTGCACATACTGCAGTGCAAACCCACTCAAAACACAAGTACATTCTGTTCAGCATCCTGCGGTTGTGCAACAGTGATTCTCATTCAGGAAAAAAGGAGAGAGAGAAAAGTACAGAACAAAAGCTAAGCAGTGGTCGTTTCGCGGGAAAGCAGGCTAACCTTCTGTCCCAGATCCCCCTCCCCATCACACAATGTTCTGTAGTCACGACTGGAGCGCTGCTCATCCTGAAGAGACCATTCACAGAGAGAGAGAGAGACTGAGAATTGTGTGATATTGCTGATTTCACTCAAGGAGAACAATATGGCCAGATATTACATTTTCTTCCGTAAGCACTTAGCTCATTTATAAGCATGTAGATCAAGAACAGCCTTTTTTTTATGTGATATTTTTAACTTGTCCCATTAATGACTGTGCCATTGTTTGTGGTAACAGCTCTTCATTAATACAAAGAATTATTCTGAGAGAAAAAGCAGCCAAAGTTCAACTAAATAAATACACTATTGTTCAAATTTCAGGGTCAGTAAGATTTTTTTATTAAGAAAAATTGTTTAGGATAAATGAATTAGGTCAAAAGTGACGGTAAAGGCATTTATAATGTTACAAAAGATTTCTATTTCAAATGAATGCTGTTCTTCTTTTTTCAATTTGTCAAAGAATCCTGAAATAAATTCTATGCTGCTCTTAGACTTCTGTTTTAGCTTTCTAATATTCTGGTTTACTTGTGAAATTTTGTATAGTGGTAATATTAAAATATTTTGCCCAAAAATGAAAATTATGTCATTATTTACTCACCTTCATGTCATTCTAAACCTCTAAGACTTTATTCCCTTTGTTGAACAGAAAAGACGATATTTTGAAGAACGTTGGTAACCAAACAGTTTTGGTTACCATTGACTTCTATTGTATGGACAAACTTTCTTCTGTGTTCCACGGAAGAAAGTCATAGGTTTAAATCTACATGAAGGCGAGTAAATTATGACAGAATCAATTGAGTGTGTCGTTCTGGATCTATGCATTTGCTAAAGGAATAAATGTAAATATAATGTGGTGTATTATCAGTACAGCTTCACTATTAACACTGCAGATTGATTATTTGAGAGCAAACCACTTAGATTAGGTTATATTCTCATCTGATCTTTCTTCTTTTTAATCTCCTGGTCATTTCATTGTGAAACTGCCGAACTGATGATTGACACTAAGGGGTCTGAGTGGATATCATAAGATGGAGAGATGAAAATAGATAAGTGTGCTCTTTTGCTAAGTGTCTGCTCTGAAGAGGCCACTCTTACAGCTTTATATGGAGAAACACACAGATTGCTCAAGTATCTGTTCTCTGTTGCCCATGTCATTGGAGAAGGAATTGTTTACGCAACCCGCATCTCTACAACAGCAGCCTACATTGCCATTTCAACAGACTGGGACTGGCGCATTACAAATTTATCTGGAGCAGAGCTCATTTAGTCAGACTGAAACATGATTCCAGCTCAAGCCTGTCCAGAACCACACAGCCATGTTCCACTTGTGTTACTCAGCTATTGAACTTCAGTGGACATCCATGGCGAGGATGTTGTTGTTGTTGACGACATAGTTTGAGCATTTCCATGGCAATACAGCAATAAACCTGAGAAGGTACAACAAACTGAGAACTGCTTGAATTGACTGCATTTTCATGGTAAATGTAGTGGCACATTTACTATTCTCTTTCACTCTTGTCCTGCATACATAAAACATGCTGCATTGTCAGAGCCATCAAAAGAGGTTACACAGTATACATTTTTCACACACTTGTGTGTCAGCTCTGCTTGCGTGCTACGCTCAGTGCTATAGCAAATCCCACATGTGTCTATATGCAGGACATGTCCCGAAGTCACCCCTGTGCTGCAGTACATGCTCCTGACCAGCAGAGGGTGATGTCTTTTTCAGCCTCTGTCCTGCTTCACTGTACTTACCTCTGAATGTAAAGAGTGAAGAGATAGAGCTGAAGTGCTAATACAGATTTTTAATTAATATTTTTATTATGCAAGGATGGATTGCATTGATCATTTGTTTGAAAACATATGGATTTATAATTTGTTTGTTTGTTTTTTGTTGTGCAGTCAGCTGCTTCTGTGACTCCCATTTGAATTCATTTCTGTTTTTATCATAGCTGAGAAAATAAGTTTTATTAAAGTGCTTGTCTCACAGCTCAAAGCCAGTTCACAAACAAATAAAAAGTCAAAGTTTTAGGACTGAAACTTTAACAGCCGGAAGTGTAGAAACAATGCAGTGCCAAAAAGGATAGCTTGAGATGATATTTAAAGAAAGAGATGATTTTCGAGGCTCAATGGGTTTGACTTCCAGAGTTTTTCTCCCATGATACTGAATAAAAACAGCACAAATCTTCTGTAACATCCTTCAGATCAAACATACAGCACTTAATGGTAAACTGTACGTTGCCACTGGGGAATAGTGTGAATGCTGTAGATTGTTGGGTAGGTTTGCTTTGCTGCAGTGTTGTCACTCCACGGGGTCACTTTAATTATAGGACCAAGGAAAGCTTTCATGCAAATACATGAAAGGCAAGCCTCCATCTCATTGTTTTTATGTCTCCCAGGCTCAACTTTTTTCGAGACGTGCCCAATTTCCGCGTGCTGGCCTGCGGAGGCGATGGATCAGTGGGGTGGATTTTGGACTGCATTGGTGAGTACGCATCAGCATCAGTGCTTTCTAGAGCCGTAATAATTAACATTGTTACATGGACTTAATAATAGACCATCAGCCTAATGTAGAAGTTACACTGTACATGCATTAGTAGCATGAACTGCAACAGCAGGCTCGCACTGGGATTTCACACACGACAGCATTTCAGCTGCTCTGTACCGAAAATAAAGTGATTTCTGGTTTGCTAAATATCACTTTCATCTTTCAAGATTAGTTTTGAATGATGTGACCAAAGAAAACGCCTTCATTTGAGATACAGATCTTATGCTGACTGTCTAGTTTGATTGCACTTTATATTTCCTGCTATTTTGCATCTGCATTTACCCTAGGAGATCAATAAAGCATGTCAACCAATTCATTGACAAACATTTGAACATTAGGACATCCTTCCATGCGGTACTTGACTCGAGGCTGGCTCTTATTTAAGGCGCATAGAATCATGACGTATAACCGTCAGAAAGATTGTTCACAAATCATTGTTTCTAGGAAGCGCATTGACTCATCTGTGACCTTTTTCATGTGAGTGAATGCAGGATAACAGTGGAGATCTAATGGCCTGTCTTTCCCTCTCCTGACAGCCGTATTGATGTTAATGGACGAGTGCTGGAGAGGAGCCTGTGTGGGCGATGCTAGATATCGCCGCTAAGTGATTTAGAATCAGCTTGGTCTCCAAACCTTTGGCTTGAAATTGCAATGGGCTGATGGTACTGAAACCTGAACTTAGATCAGAAGCAATGAAGAAGCTCTTTATCCCTTTAGAGACTCTTTAGCCTGGCAAATTGAGGAGGACGGGGACACATATGGGAGTTTGTCCTCCTAACAGCCCTGAAGTGATGATTTAGGAGCAGCTTTTGAATGAGAGCCGCTCTGCTAACAGTCCTTGCTTGTTGTTCTCCCACACGAGTTTGACTGGTATTAGAAAATGTGAGAGCCCCTGCGGTTAGGCAGTACATCACGCCATACGGACCAGCACTGAAAAAAACAATGTCCCCGCAGTCCCTGTGCACATAGCAATGAGCCACACAGGGACCATCAGCATGAGGACAAAAAGATACAGTTCATCATGTTGCCTCTCTTCAGCAGAATGCACACACTGCTGTTTGTTTCAGAACAAGAGAAACAAACAAATTTACTGTGGATTATTGTGAGGAATGATACACATTGATGCATGAAGCACTAGCCAATTCTGTATGCCTAACTTCAATGCCTTTTTAAAAGGAGAAGTTACATCTTCAACCAGGCCATGGAAGGATCCCTTGTTACATTTTGTTTAAAAAAAGAGTGTAATATGTAGTTCCATATTAATGCATTTACTTTACTGTTTGGAAAAAGCTTTTAAGAAATTAAAATCAGCAAAGATGCATTAAATTGATCAAAAGTGACAGAAAAGACGTATAATTTTACAAAAGATATCCGTTTCCATTAAAAGCTGTTCTTTTGAATTGTCTATTCATCAAAGAATCCTGAAAGCAGTCCAACTGTATTCAACATTGATAGCACCCAATCAGCATATTGAAATGATCATGTGACACTTATGGCTGCTGAAAATTTAGCTTTGACATCACAGGAATAAATTGCATTTTATAATATATTAAAATAGAAAACTAGTTATTTTAAGTTGTAATAATATTTCACATTATTACTGTATTTTTAATTAATTAAAATCAGCCTTGATGAGCATAAGAGGTTTCTTTCAAAAACATTAAGTAAGCTTACTGACCTCAAACTTTTGAGCGGTATTGTACATATGTGTGAATCCATTAAATATAATCATAATTTATGTCCAAATTAAATATGTGCTTTATTTAATTTTTACTTAAAGTAATACATTTTAATGTGGGTGGGAAATATTTTGAAACTAATTTAGCTTCTTGAGGTATGAAGTTTTAACGCATATTTTATTTTTAATAAATGAAATAAAAATAACGAATTAATTAAAAAAATAATTAGGAAACAATAATTGTCTGACCCCCCTGCAGCACTGCTGACACCTTTTTTGAACCCTGAATTACACCAAATAAAAATGAAAAGGTTTTCAAACAGGTTTTCTAACTCACCCCATGTTTCATTATTAAGCCAAACAAATAGTCCAGCCCCAAATCTACAGCAAAACGCTGAGCCAGTGTTACTATGTCAGGCCACTGCAATGTTTTGACCACAGAGGCCCAGTGCTTACACTTTTTAAGGAACTCTGCACATTAAACTGGGATAATTGAGAGTGTTTTAACATGAAAATGCCACACAGCAGCTTTAATAGCTCTTTGTTTCTCAACAGATAAAGCCAGTTTTGCTCGGGATCCACCTGTTGCGATCCTGCCACTGGGTACCGGGAATGACCTCGCTCGCTGCCTGCGCTGGGGTGGAGGTGAGGAATGAAAAAGAGACTGTACACCAGCAGTTGAAATTAATTACTAAAGGTCTTTGAAATGAAACTTAAAGGGCTTTCCTTCACGGAGCCACTCGAGTTGAGTTTAGGCTTTGATTTTTTTAAATCTCAACACAATCCTGTATAAACCCTTCAAAAGGATTTTTAGACTGCTTTCTTTTAAACATTTCCACACACAACCCTCAACAGAAGGTCAGACTGTAATAATCAAACTTGATCATAGTTAGCTGAATGCTCCAGTCACATGAATGAAAGAGCAGGATTTGTTGAGACCACACTTGAATTCAGGAATTTGATTCTGTGATCTTCATCACACAGAAGACCGCGCTTGCCCAGTTAAACCAATTAAGTAAATTAAAAATGAAAATTTTCTCTCATAATTTGTCTTCAGCACAAAATGAGAACTTTTAAATAATGTACTGGCACCATAAAAGAAGTCTGTGTGCTATTTTCCAAGTCTTTTGAATCCATACTGCTGCGACTGGACCAGTGTGACCAAACAGTTGGTGGTAGCCATTGACTTTCATAGTTTTTGTTTCTATACTATGGAACTAAATGGCTACCAGCAACTATTTGGTTACCAACATTCTTCAAAATATCTTCTTTAGTGTTCAGCAGAATCAAGAAACTTGTACACGCTTGGAACAACTTGAGGTTGAGTAAATGATGGCAGAATTTTCATTTTTGGGTGAACTATCCCTTTAAACTTATTTATCTTAGTTAGTTGCCAAGGCAACATTTCTAATTTAAAGTGAGCTGAAGTTTTTCAACAGCATGTACATATGTATATTTCATTTTATTTCAGCTATATTACCGAAAATGTTTTTTAATAGTGATAACAACACTGTTAAGAGGTGAGACAGTTACAGTCATTTCTAACAAGAGATAAATAAACTACTCTTTGAATATATATATAGACTTGCCAATCATTTGCCAACAAGAGACCTGCACTGTTTCATTCCTGTGTGATTACATATGCTTGTTCTTGATTAGATATGCGGGTTTATTCAGTAGTTATGATGGAATGATATGCATCAGTGAGCCTGCGTCTGCTTGTAAGGCAGGTGTGGATGGCCTTGTACAGGCTGCTGAATTAATTGGCCTCGTATCAGTGTTTCCTGTGTGAGCATGTGTGTGGTTTGTGCAAACAGGTAAGGTTTTACATGAATGTATTCTTAATTTCATTTCGATGGTAGATTGACTTTGAAACACGTGTATCACCTGTATTCAGTGCAGAGCTGCCATGTGAGCGTCCATTCATGTAACGTTCGATTGGAAGCGTCTGCATGTCTGGTTCAGAAAGGCAGACTGAGCACCTGGGTGTCATCACACATGTGATATTTCACTGCTTGGGTTGCCAGGCGGGAGCCAGTATCCCCATCTGACTCACAGCATGACGGCCCTCATTAAGAGATGCCGCCTCTTATGATAGCAACGTAACAAGTAGACTCTGTATCCTGCCCATTACAATTAGGAAGTAATTGCAGTTCGTCCACCTCAGGGAACCTTTCTAAGGATCCCTTCATGTCATTTGGAAGGGTTGCCAGGCATTGACAAAATCCCTTGATGTAATACAGTAGTAAATTTGAGTTAGCCTTTTTTTTATGTATGTATATATACATACAAAACAACAAAATCAGAATGTAGTGGTTCAAAAAAGGACCAAGGACGGAAAAAGCATCATACAAATTTAGTCAAATAAGTCATACAATTTAGTTTGTGTGTGAAACGGACTGGATGTAAGTTAAGTTAAAACTCGAGAACCACTGTGCCTAACATGAATAACAATATACACATTTTACACAAGATACACAGTATACACAATATACACAAGGGATAGAAAGTATACACAGGAAGTTTACATATGTTAGAACCGAATGCAGTCGCAGTAATCAAAGTAGTCACTGTAAGTTTCAGTATTATGCACAGCAGTATCACAGTGAAATATAACGTCAGTGTTGTTATAGAGAGCAGATGATGTGCTGTGATGCAAAAACATTGGTCATTCTCACCTCAGACTTATAGTTTTGATTAGAATACATCCAGTTAGGCGGTTGCATACAGTCTAGTTTAACGTTCAAATATTTTACAACACCTGAAACTCAAACTGGATCAGAAAATTTGCTATACATATATATTCAGAACTCCTGTACTACTCTCCGTTGGAAATTAATAAATTATGATCTGTCATTTGTCAGAGAAAAGGCTGCTTTATACTTTCACAGCATTGTGTTACTTGGGCAAGTTTAATAATTTTATCTTGCTGTATTGAAATTTTAATTAAGCCATGTTAACCTTGGATTTGAGATAATGTGAGTCTTTCGTTGTCATGAGTAGAACAAAAGTGGAATCGTGCTTGTTTTATTCTACTTTTCTATGCGTGGACACTTGCTTGCTCTTGTTCATAGATAAAAAGGAGCTTTTGTGCTTTTCTTCATGTGTGTGTCTGCAACAGTAAGAACATCCATACATCAGTTCAAGTCTATAATTTACACGTTATGTAGGTTCATGCAGTGTCTGTGTTGTGATTGACAGGCTATGAAGGAGGCAGTCTGGTCAAATTCCTCAGGGATATCGAGCACAGCACTGACGTGCAGCTTGACCGCTGGAACATCGACATTGTCCCTGACGATAAAGAGGAGAAGGGCGACCCTGTGCCCTACAGCATAGTGAACAACTACTTCTCCATTGGAGTGGTGAGAACATACAACACTTTTACACAAATGCTTACAGCTCAAAGAGACTCAATATCAGAACTCCTGAAAGTGCTGTTATATTAAACCTCCTCCTTCTATCCGCACTCATCATCAGTCAAAATCTCTTACTCCCCATTATAAGTGTGTATTTTTACCAAAGCCTGAGGCCAAACCTCTCTTTAAAGTAATTTGTGATTAATTAAATGTTGTTTCTCATTTAGCATTAGAATTAATTATAATTGTCAGGGGAACAACATGTTCAAACTTCACTGATGTGATTTACTGCGTCTGAAACAGTTTCATGCCTGTGACTCAGTGTATTATTGCACAGAATTCTCCTTCTCACACACAGTTGCTTAGCAACCCTCTTCTGTTCAACTGTTATATCCCATGTTGTTGCTATAATCAAGCACTTATTATCAGAGCAGTTAAATGTCGATTCAATATGTATTTTATTTATTTATTTATTTATTTTTTGACAAGAAAAAAAATCTCTTTCAGAAAGTAGTTACATAATCATTTTCTACTTCTTTTTATATACCAACTTGTGGGGTAGATTATATAACAAATAAATAAGTGATTTTTTAAAATGTTTTTCAAGTGTTTTTTGCCAGATGGTCACTTTCTATTACTGTAAGAAGTTACTGACGTAGAAGATTCAGAATCTTCCACAATTATAAAATGAGAGGGAAACAAAATTCAAAGATTCAAAAGTGAATGCCAATGAGGTTATTTACAGCTAGGGATGAATTTTGTTCTTTCGCTGGCACAGTCTAGCCACACAGGGGCCAGGTGGGTCTCCGTGAGCCTGTCGTCCTCCCTTTGTTTAGCTAATGATTCATTTCTGCACTGTTTTTAGTACCCGTCACTATATATAGTAAGTCTGCTTTCATTTCTGAAAAATGTCCAATATTCTATTATAATCAGCCGAATCCCAGGTGTGTTGGATGACTGCTGTTTTATCTCTCTAAAATGTGCCAAGTAGTCAGGCCACATTTAGAATGGCCAGAAATAGTGACACGACCTGAAACGGGCCACCTGACCTGGTTGAAATGGTAGTGAAGAGTGGCAGAAGGCACATACAAGCTTTATGCAAGGTGGCATGAAGGAATGCGCCACTTCAGGGCTGTTATGCAACTCAGCTTAGTGTCCCGCTGTCTCTGTGTTCATCAGCCAATGACACAGACCACATAAGAGTTATTGTTGTAGAAGCCTAGAACAATTGTTGTTGAAATGTGCAAATAATAAATCTAGCACTCTAGTTTTATGGGAAATAAAATAACAAATTAACAAATATTGTATAATGCTTAACAGACCACTAATTAATATACATATCATATGACACTGAAGACTGGAGTAATGGCTGATGAAAGTTCAGAAATAAATAATATTTTAAAGTATATTTAAGTATATTAACATAGAAAACCATTATTTTAAACAATATTACTGTTTTTTGGTGAAATAAATGCAGCATTGATGAGCATAAGAAACTTCTGGAAGAAACTAAATTAAAAAGATTAAAAATCTTACTGATTTATATATATATATAAATAAATGAATAAAAATAAATAAATGACTGAGCTACACCTGTTTGAAGTCGATAGAGTCAGCAAAGGCAATTTTGAGAAAAACCTAGTTAAAGTTTTCTGAAGATTCCAAAACAAAATCACTTAGCAACCATACCTTAAAATCTCTGGTAATACTAGCAAATTCGGCACACCAAGTCAAAACCCATATCTATAGGAAAAGTACATGGTCAACTTAGACGTTATTGCAACTAGAGGTGTGAATCTCCACTTGCCTCACAATTCGATTCGATTACGATTCAGAGGATAACGATTCGATTATAAAACTATTTTCGATGCATCACAATGTATTTTTTCCTCCAATTCTTTCATTAATAATAATAATTACTATATTAATCATAGTTTATTTTTTTTATAAAAACAAAGATGCAAATAAACAGTTAAATCATTCAAGTAAGGAAAATAATCAAATGTAAAAATTACTACATAATCTTTAGTGTATTCATTACAAATAAAGTAGTTCAATCAAGAGCAATGAGTGATTCCCTCTTTTCTTTTGTTGTTTCATTAACATTAATGAGAGAGACAGCCTATATATTAAGACCTACTGTAATGCGCGGACATAATATAATGTTTCACATCAGATAGCCCTAGACAAGAGCTCAACAAACTCATTTTTGTGAAAACCTCAAAACACACACACACACAAAAAAAAATATCTATCTATCTATAAATATATATATGTATGTGTGTGTGTGTGATATATATATATATATATTGTGTGTATGCATATATATATATATATACACACACACATATATTTCTTCACTGTCATTTTTTTAAAGAATTCGTTGAATAGACAATTTGAAGGTAGATGAATCTGTCTGTTAAATTGTTTCTGTTAAATTGGATATTATTTATTTGTTTGTTTGTTTAAGATAAATAAGGTATGCTGTTGCAAAGTTTCAATTAAAATGCAGACACACTGCGAAGACGCAGATGTTTGTTCTGGTCAGGTCTGTGTCAGCCCATCTGATGATACAGTGTGGTGGTTTGAAGAGGCTGGCTAACGTGAAGGAGTGCTGACTGTGAATGGACAATGGCCCGTACTGTGAACCCTGAGTCTTGTGATGGGGTGGACTGACTGTGCCATGTGGGTCCTTGTGTGGCTTGGCACTAATAACTAGTTCTCACAAGACAACAATATATTAAAAGAATGACTGGTGGAGTTGGACGTTTTCGTTCAAGCTGTAGTATGTCATTTTTGGATTTGAAAATGCTTGGATTTGTAAAAAAAAAAAAGACAGTTAGTTGTAGGTTAAATGGTTAATTCACTAAAAATTTACATTCTGTCATCATTTACTCAACCTCATGTTTTAAACCTGTATACGTTTTTTTCTGCAGAACACAAAAGAATATATTTTGAATAATTTTGGGGTCCAAACTAATCCCACTTACTTTTATTGTATGGGCAGCACATTTCTGAAAATATTTTAAAATACAAAGTCATACAGGTTTAGAACAACATGAGGGTGAGTAAATGATGACAGAATGTTCATTTTTGAGCGAACTATCCCTTTATTATCTATAAAAAGTGTACACTGTAAACATCCAAACATTGCTGCATTTATTTTTGTAATTCCATTTAGTGATGCTAGTGGCTTCTGCTTTAAACTCTTTCAGATATGAAGCACTGTCAATTCATAACTGACTGTTCATGAATGAATGATAGCAGTGCAGTACCTAATATTGCAAGCTTTGATGGTTGCAGTTGGTTGGAATTCAGTTTGATGGACTGTTCTGAGGATGCAGGCAGTATTGTCGGGGGCCTTCGATGTCTGAAATCACGATACTGTGGTGTGTGGTGCAGTGTGGCATGGCACTGGAGCACAGGGACAGGGTGCTGCGAGTCCAGGAGGACAGGACAGATGGCTCCACATTGGGTGCCACTGACACCTGAGTAAAGCAGTGCCGTGACTCATGCACTGACGTAATCATTAGTAATGCTGTTTCAGCCTTCAACATTTTCCAGTCACTCTCCATAGAGGTTGCCATGGCGTTTGTGGTTTTCAGGCCGGTATCACCAAGGTTATGCATTTCAATATTTGTGACATTCAGAGAGCTCTTTTTCTCTTTAGCTTAACTAATATAAGGGGTAGTCCAAGAAAAATTAAAATTCTTTCATCGTTTATTTAGATGCTGTTCCAGATCTATATGACTTACTTTCTTCTGTGGAACACAAACAGATTTTTAGAAAAATCAACTCTTTGAGTCAATATAATGCTAATGGATAATGGATGGAACCCTCAAAATTGATGTTTCAAAAATCACGCTACACTCTTAAAAATAAAGGTGCTTCACGATGCCATAGAAGAACCTTTTTGTCTAAATGGTTCTATAAAGAACTTTTAACATCTGAAGAACCTTTCTGTTTCACAAATGGTTCTTTGTGGTGAAAGAACGTTCTTCCGATTATAAAAAGGTAAGCAAGAGATGGTTCTTTAAAGAACCTTTGACTGAATGGTTCTTTGTGGAACCAAAAATGGTTCTTCTATGGCATCGCTTGAAGAACCTTTTGAAGCACCTTTATTTTTAAGAGTGTACATGGACATTATGTAAGCTCATTGTCACAATGAAGTGACAATCCTCTGTGATTTCGCATAACTATACGTGACATAACTGTACATTACGTCACACTTCACAGTGTGCTGGTGTTTACGTCAAATGTGAACTCATCAGCCTACATTTGACAGTATCCTGGAAGCAATTGTTTATAGTTTAAACATTTTAAAATATGAGTATTTTTCTAACACATACTTAAAGTTTTGCTTTAGAATTGATTCATCAGCTGGGGTTGCATGGATTACGTCATGTTTGCTTTGTGTGGTTTTTTTAAGCATCAACTTTGAAGGATATTCCCCTACACAAGCTGAATTCCCGAGTGGGGATGCTGGAGGGAAGATGCTGATGTGCAAGGAAAGCAGGAGAAAAAAATCACACATTGGACATAATTATCTTTTATATAAATATCTAACAGTAAAATAGAAGTCACTCAAATTTATTTTATGTTTTAAGGTATAGAATGTTACTCACATTATTCATCTATTGTGGAAAAAAAAAAGATTTACAGGACCATGGATGGATATTCTCAGTGTTTTTTATTATACAGTATGCATCAGCGATGGAAAACATTTATTTTGCCTGCAGCAACAAATGCAATAAGGTGCTAACATACAACACACAGAAGTCTGGCACTTGATATCCAAAGCGGACCGGAACTAAAAATCTGCATAGACCTCTTTCTCTGGGCTTTTGTGGGTGGGAGTGGGGCAAAACGTGGCAGTTGCGGGCAGGAGCGGGACTAAATCTTGTGGAAGTGGGACTGAAAAATAGCTCAACTAGTAGAGCTTGTTGCTAACAATGTCAAGGTCATGGGGATTGATTATAGGGAACAAATTGAATAAATCAAAATAA